TAAAAACAGTTTTCTGATGCTTAAAATAAAATAGAATAACAATTTGTCTCATCTGATCTACTTTGGATCCTATTATTTAGAGGTAAAATATTCAGTAGCTACAGATTTATTCTTGTGTTTACCTTAAGATATGAAAAAGGCATATATCCATATTCCTCTTGATACTATTCAATGAAGAACCAGCAGGAAGTACTCAAGAAATATTATGCATCTTTATTTTCTTCTGCTTAGATGGGGATACGTGCTGTTACATGCTGTTACAGAGCGAAGAAATTGGTGGTAAAACTTCTGAAAAGCTTAGCAGCTACATGATAAGTCACTGCCAAAAATAACAGAACCTCATATAGGTGTTTTTATTCAGTTCTATTGGTACTTAAATGATAAATTAAAATAGTTCTCCAAGCAAGCAGAATTCTTGTTTTTGAGGTTTCTCTCATGGTAATCCCAACATAATGTTACCATAAGTCAAAATAGCCACTGTTTTTATTCTTAATTACTTTCATTCATAAATTGTACAATATTTTCCTTCTTTTTTTCCATTCAGTGGCCAAGCATCTGCTAAGAAGTAATTTCTGGGGCAACGCTTTAGTTTGGTTGAGTTTGAGGCCGTTCCTTATCTCATGGTGAGAAAGGGACAGTATAGTGGCAGGAGCATGCACTGGACTCCTCATCACCTTAATCTTTGACGGAGAGCAAGTCGAGGTAGGATAGGAGGCAGGGCCTGACAAGAAACCTTAAGCTGGTGATCCTCTTCCTCCAACTTTTCCCCATATCCTAAACAGTCCACAATCTCCCCAAACAGGCCCATCAGTTAGAGATAAAGTACTCAAGCCCATGAGCCTCTGGGTGACATTTCATATCCAAAACATAAAGTAGACTTTCTTTTGCATTTGGAAAATCTAGTCAGAGGTCTACGGCACTTTGTCTTTGGGTGGAATAGCTATTCCACTCAAGAATGATAAAGCAAACACTGCCAAATCCAAACAAGTGATTCCTTTCTGTGCTCACAACTGCATCTATAATGTCCATGGAATAAAAGGTCTTACTGGCTAAATTACAGTATCTTTTATAGGGCTGGGATGTACCTCAGCAACTGAGCCCCTGCCTAGACATACAAATATACTTTTTGTCTTCAAAAAATTATGAATCAGGGATGACATTGAATTGTGCCTGTTAGTATCATTAATCAAACATTGTTTACTAACCAGAGTAAAGGAAGAAATACATAACAAATCTATCAACATTTGAAACTGTTATGAGTTTTTTTTTTAACTGTTTATGAAAGATTAGGCAAGACCATGGGGAGTTTGGGAGCAGAATAATGTCAACAGTCTGAAAGACTCCTCTAAGAAAACACTGATGCTATATTTCTTTCACTTTTTATGAGAAATATAAAGAATATTTTGTTTATAGGTTCAAGCTATAATACTATAGCTCCCCCAAACTCCTAATTATTTTATTGGTTATTTTGAGACACTTTTCATAGCTCAGACTAGTTTGGAACTTGCTATATAAATCAAGCCTGCTTGAACTCTGCATGTTCTTCTCAGCCTCCCAAGAACTGAAGCACAGACACAAATAGACCACCACACCCCTTTGCAATTTAGTGGTCGTTGTTCTGCTTCGAACCAATTTGGAAACAAAACACTCTCAGCCCACAACGTTTATACCTTTAAGTAAAATACAAATATACCATGGGAACTAAGGATGAATCAGATATTCTCAAAGGTATGACACCCCATAGGATTGTGCCTTTTGCTAATCCTGAAGTGGGGCCTCTAATTGCGCTAGAGATCCAGCATCAGCTTTATTCAGGATCTTCAGTTTTGACTACACATAAGCTGTTTTTCTCCTCTCAGACTATCTTTGTACGCTCTTTCCTGTGCAATTTTCTGGTACCTGCCCCCATCTTCGAGAGAGTCTGCATAAAACTGCCTTGGCCCTTCTTGCCTCCTTTCCCACCCCTGTTCCACACAAAACACTTAGAGAAATGAACAGCAGCTAAAGCCCTAATGGTCTCTGGAAGCCTACATAAGAATATTTCAGAACAAAGCAAATAGAGACTTCAGATGTTTTTGTGTTGTTAACAAAGTTGTGAAATTTGTGAGGAATGTGAGACCAGAAAATTCTTTTTAATATTTTCGGGATTCATTTTCTCTAATTCTTCATGTCCCTAGTTGAACGTTAACTTAATTATAAAACAAAATCTATAGCTGCAGCTCCAGCCTGAGGGTAAAGTCTGCACTACTAATTAATGTTAATTCCCTGGGCCCAATTTAATTACAAAGCAACATTTGGTACAGCTGCTAAACACTTACCAGGTGACCACACGATGATATGGGAGAAGGATTTACAGGTCTCTAGTCTTGCTCACACACTTTCAGCACAGCTATGAATCAGTCATGTACAAATTTGAGCAAACCCTTGGATTCATCCTAAAGATTTGTTTGACTTTCCACATCTCTGTAGCTATGCCTAAGTTACACCTTTGATAAATCAGTATTGGCTATTATGTACAAGGTCACTGTACTGATGGAAGAGATGTCCTAGTAAAGCAACAAAGTAGCAATTGGACAATGTATGCACACCTCTTAGCTGATTTCATTCATTTCTCTTTCAGTGATGTAGACACAGGGAAAGTAACCCACATGTATTATGAGATAGCAACCTGTGTTTTGGTTATCACAAATAGTATTTTATAATACAATTGGACTTATCTAACATATCTCTACTTTTTAAAAATATTCCACAAAAAGGAAAAGATATGATTACTTGTGTTACTAATAGTTTTCAGTTGACAAAATTAAGGTTAACCACCGATATTATTTAAATAGGCAGCCCTTCCCCTATATAAACTATTTTCAATTTTCATGATATTTATTAAGATATTTACATCAAATAAAATAGGTTTGATCATTTTATTGTTGGCTAACATAGAGGCAGAAATTTGATGATTAGTTCATGTCTATTGGAGCTTTTTGCTTCCTTAAAATACTCATTTTGCAATACTTGGGACTTGAAGACCTTCCTAGGATTTCAGAAGATGGAGAAAAGTTATTTGAACTGAGAAAAGAAGTTAGGAAACAGTATATTAAAAAAGTTAAATATCACTGGCTGATTTTCAGCAACTGAGATTATAGAGTACACTTAATTCAAATTAGGGTTGGAAGTGTGAGTTCTCAGTCATGCTCAAAGAGAAGCAAAGATAGTTTCTTTCTTTTGTTTTGCTTTCCAGGCTTAGAATGCCAATCTTTATCTCCTTTTCTTTCTATTTTAAGTAGAAAAGGAAAGCTAAAGTCTGGATGTATCATTCCTTATTGTACTTCATAAAACAAAGCAGAGGACATAAATTAATCATGAAAGGTCTGCAGCAATAATCTTCCCCATGGTTCAGTTTCAAGCACCAGCTCAGATTCTACCCAGTGTTGCCATGTGTAGCTACTGCAGACCCTGAGTAGGATAACAAATTATGCTTAAAAGGTGAAGGGCTAATTTCTCAGTGATAGCAATGTCTGTTTCCCACCTCAGAGAGAATTCTCCCTACTACTGAGCAGTGTCTGAGTCACAGGAGGAAACTATTTTGCTTGCTGGAAGAAAACAGGATAGAAGGAATTATGATACCTACCAGATGTTTCAGTGCTCCACAGGGGGCACCACGATACTTCTGCTTATGCTGCAGACAGCATAGACTGTCAGACCATGGGACTCTGGGGTTCAATGCTCACACTTCACTGAGATGCAGAGTCATAGGATTTGAGAGTGAGCAGGACCCTTAGAGATCGTCCATTCAGAGGGCTTAAAACTCTAAGAGCCCTATGATTCAAAAGTGTGGCTCAAAAATTGCTGAGTATGTGCTGGGAGTTTTCTTCCCAAAAGGGGCATCATTCATAAGAAGAATGTAAATGTGTTATGTCAGATACCACATCAGTACATAATATTTTACTAAGTACAAACTAATTGTAGAATCCAAAATCATACTCTTGTTGATGAAAAGAATTTTGTGGACAGCAACCTTCCACTGTCTGAGCTACTTCCATGGAAGGGGGGAGACACTGATTTAGACACATTGTGCTGTGACAGGCCTTGTGGTATGTGGGCTCAGAAACTAAATTATATCATTTAGACAGGTTAAGTGGGAATTAAGGACTTCTAGAGTCATGTCAATGATTCTTTTGTTTATTATTTACATTTAATAACCAAGCAAATGGAACAATATTACTTAGAAAATTTTGCCTTTCCTTGTTATTTTAACAAGGAAATAAACTTGTTCTTCAAATAATAAATAAATTTGTTCTTCAAAACATTCTTCTGTTGATGCTGAATTATCTTATCCCACCTCATCTGTTCTAATTTCAAAGTTAAAAATACTGTGTCCATTGTTAGTGGAATGGATAGAGAAGATGTGGTAGATACAAAATGAAATATTTCATTCATAAAGAATAACAGAATTATACTGTTTGCATGAAAATGTATACAACTGAAGATAATTGTGTTATGTGAATTATGACATGCGTAGAGAGACAAGTATCACAAGTTTTGTCTCATTTGTGGATTCTGAATATTTATATAGAGGAATAAAGTCTCATATGTGTATTCGACATGAGAACAGAAAACAATGTAAGTGCGCAAAGGAGACTAGCAGGAGGAAGGAGGAAAGAGGGGGAGGAGGGTTGCTAGTGGGGTAAATGCACAGAAAATGTCCTTATGAAACAGAACTATATATAACAAATATACAGCTATCAAAATATTATTAATAAAGATGCAAAATAAAATCGATACTCTGGATAGTTAATGGAATATCTGTACTCAGCAACAATGAGATAGAGGAAAGAAGAGATAGAAGGAGGGAGGGAGAGAGGAAGAGAAAGAGAGAGAGAGAGAGAGAGAGAGAGAGAGAGAGAGAGAGAGAGAGAGAGAGAGATCTGATTTTAATATAAGGTAAAACCACGTTCTGCAAGCTGAGTATTTTTTAAGGAACTGTGACAAAGCATGCATCTTACCATCACTGTTGATGCACACAACCTCTTGCACTTGAGTGCCAGGCCCACAGGCTTTTCCATTATCTGGTTCACAGTCTCCGAGTCTCACTGCTTTCCAGTCATAGCAGGATGGCTCTTCACAGGGAATGGCTTCCAGTAAGTGAGGACAGTTTCCAGTTGCCCCAGAACCTCCAGTAGGCTCATTAGTAATGCGCCGCTTCCTTAGCTTGAATCCTGAGTCATTGGGGAAGGAAAGAAATGTTTTGTTTGTGCCAGAGTTGTAATATTTCAGAAAGGGGATTTAACCCCAGAGTGAATGTGGATGAGGGTAGAAGGAAAGAGTCATGAATGAATAACCAGTGTCTACATTACCAAATTGAAGCATAATGTGAGACCACCAGCATTTATTGGTAGAAGGAAAAAAGGAAGCAAGGCAGGGGTGAAGGGGAGGAGAGAGGGAGGGAGGGAGAAAGAAGGGAAGGAAGGAGCAAGAAGAATCAAGTAGTTTATGGTTCAATTATTCTCCTCTGCCCCTTTATACCACTGCATTCTTTCTCTCCCACCCTTTAAAACCTCCTTCTGCTGCCTAAGGTACCCTACTAACTGTTCATTCTCTATGTTATTCTGAAGTAAATATCCATATTTAAAGATTCCAAGCTAACATCACAAATGAGAGAAAGCATGTCGCATTTGTCTTTCTGGCTCTGTGTTACCTCATTTCAAATGAAGATTTAAACATTCTGATGGGATGGGAGAGTAGGATAGAGGAGGAATAGATTAACTAACATAAGACCTTTTGAAAAAGTCATATGGAAACAGAGTAGTGGAGAACTCTCCAAATATATATGTATACACATACATAAAAGACTTTAATGAAGTGATCCAAGAATGGAGGGATATTCTACCTAGGTACCATACGCTAGCACAAAATGCCCAATCACAGGAATGGGTTTTCTCTTTTGAGGTTGTTGGCCACTGGGTCCCATAGATTTCCAAACACCATAGTTTATTGCTAGTGCTCTTGGCTATCATGCAGAGATTGATGGTAATACACTACATAAGTGAGTCATAGACCAGGAGAAACTAAGCTCTAAGCTTGTATCAGCCTGGAAGCTTTAGACCTGCTCAAACTTTTATAGTGCTAGATGGTGCTGCACACATAACCCAAAGAGAAATAGTAATTATCTATCTTAACCCAGCTTTGAACTCTTAAATCTACAATAATGACTGGCCTAACATGTCATGTCCACTGGTTTAATAGTGGTATAAATATTATGAGAGTGTCAAACCACTTTTTGATTGGATGTCAGGCCACTTTACAAGATGAAACCCGAATCTGGCAAGTTACCAAGAATGTGGAGCTATGTAGGATAGGCCCTAGGGAAGAACCTGAAACTATTGTTCTGCTAAATGGACATAGTATTTTGAAACAACTCCTAGTGACTTATCATTGGACCCAGAGAATGACAAATCTCTAAACTGTCACCATAGAAGCTTCTGCAGTGGATAGTGATTAATACAGAGTCTCACAACTGGTCAAAGGACAAAGAATAAGAGACTGTAGAATACTCAGTCCTAAATAAGTTATCTGAGCCACATACCCAGCTCATGGATCATTGTAATAGAAGGGCTGGAGGTAGTGAATGACTATAAGGAAACACAAATGACAGTTGTTCAGATGAACTGATGGCAGTTTTGACAGAATACACAAGATCTACAAAACATCAAGCCAGACGAGGAAAACAAAGCATCATATAAAGTATACCTCCCAATTTTACTCAATTCGTGGATGTTTTGAACAGGACATGTCACCATTACATACCTTTTCTCCCTTGTTGGTCATTACAGTTTTCATAAGTACAAGGTCCCCAGGCAGACCAAGGTGAAACTTCACATTCAACTGGACAAGGAATGTGGCACAGCTGTGTGGTGTTAGGAACAGGGACACTGCACAATTTTGAGTCCACTGGTTTCGAGGCTGTTTGGATAAAAATATAGACATCTCTTAAAATTTAGACAAAAACAGATGTTATGGTCCAAACTAGAATTTGTATGTGTGTGCAGAGGATTAAATTTGAAGATGTGTCATTAAGATACTATCCCAAGATTTCTCTGCTATGTGCTGAGAATAGAAGGGGAACTAAGAGGGTAAATGAGAAAAAGAGAAGTGCATTCATCAAATAGAGCTGAACTGGGACTCTGACAAGTTGCTTGGCTTGTAACTGTTGGGTCTTGCAGTTAGTAAAACAAATGCAACTCTCCTAATAGTCAAAATAGTCCTTCAGATGAGTCCTGAACTTCTACAGTTGGATTCTAAGCAGAGTGGTGCTTTAGAGGACTGGGCATGGTAGGATGGGGTACATAGCCTCACTAAACAAGAATGCAAATCCATGATTTGGCTTCTGGTAGAATAAACTGTCCACTTTGACTTACTGTTTGGAGTGGTGCCAAGTAGATGTAGGGGAAAAGAAGATCCAATAGTGTTACCTTTGACTTCTAGGTTCAAGCTGATCCAATGATTCCCAGAAATTCTGTCTGTCTCATCTGAAAATCTAAAGGCTGCTAAGGAGCCCAACTTAACTTATGCTTCCTTATAAGTTGGTCAAAGTATAATTAAGTCTTGCTTGCTCTTTGTTTTCTTCCCCTCTATGTTTGATGACTGCTGATTACTTTTCTTTATGCATAGATATATTGAACAGTTAATGTAAAGATTATATATATGTATATATACATTCATAGTTATATAAATATCTATTCATAGATATATAATTGGCTATACTGACTGGTTGAGATGAATGAGCCAAGAAAATATATATATAGTTCTATGGACAGAATAAGAAATTTATCTCTGTGTTTATTATCTATCACTTATTCCTCTATCACCTATTGCTTATCATTAATGGCTATAATTACTTTTGCTTCAAAAATGTTTTGTCTATATCTTCTTTTAGAAAAGACAGTTTTACTCTGAGAATTTGGACAGCCCAGACTTGTAGAATAAAGGACTTAAATATGTGGTGCTGGCTATTTTTCATTCTTGTGGGAGAATACTTTCCAACTGTGTAACATTGCATCTAGACACTCATAAGGAACTAAAATAATTTAAGCTACATATCTAAATTTTAAATCAAGTACTGAAAATGTACATATGTTGTTAAAACTCTTAGACAGGCTTAAGTACTGTGTATTCATGAAGTTTCCACACACCTAAACACTTCTAAAAGAAATGGTTCCTAGAAGACATGTTTTTGAACCCTTTCATGGTTACACCTGATATTTAGAAAAATACTCCAGGTTTTGTTTTTTTTTTTTCCTCCAATTAGTGCTTATCCTTTCATTCCTTACACACACCATAGTGGGAAATAATTGACTGGGCACCTACGCTTTCATTAGACTGAAGAAAAGCAATGATTCTCACTCAAGTTTAGGCATGTTGTAAGAGCGTCTTATACCAGCCAGAGCCAAGGATGATGGATTTTATTTCTTTTTAACAGGGAATGTACTCCAAATATCAATGACAGAAAATACAGAAATAAATGCTTCATTTCTCTGAAAGTAAAAACTCTAGAAGAAACTCTAGACATAATGATGCTTAATTTCCAAAAAGTAAAATCTTATTTAAAACCCTAATAGACATACAAATGTATAATATGAAGTTTAATTCACTGCAAATTAAAACAAATGTAAAGTTTCATTTTCAGTCTTTTATACTGAAAAACTTTAGCGATTTTGCTTTACAAAGACCAGAACAGCTTCTATCATTTTGACATTCTAATATATTTGTATCATTTCCCCATTTCTTTTCTTCCCTCTTACCTGTTCTATAAGCCCCACTTTGTTGTTTTCAAATTCACGTCCTCATTTTTCATTATATAATATACATATGTATATATTCCTAAGTATATAAATACAACCTTGTCAATCTATATAATGTCACATACATATGTTTTCAGGGCTGATCATTAGGCATTGAATAACCAGTTGGTGTGATCTTTTCTGGTGTGACTATGTCTTCAGATTCAACATTCCTTAATGACCTGTAGTTCTCTGTCTAGAATTTAGGCCTTCTGAGCTTTCTCCATCCATGTTAGAATGTCTATTAGTATCATCCTTGTTCAGCTCACGTTTAGGCAAATGTGTTGGTGAGGTTTTATGTGTATAGCTTCCGATGTTCCCAGGAGATACATTCTTACAAATTCCCTGTTTTTCTGGCTCTTGCAATCTTTCCACCCCACATTACTAAGTTGAAATAATGTGTGTCACCTTCTTTTTCTTTTTGTTACAAGTTTAATTTTAGTTTTGATTTATTCCAAATTGATTAAAAATTGCTCAAAAAAATTCTGGGCTTTTAGAAGAGGATGTGATAAATAAGGGCTTAAGACAGTCTGCTAATGTGAAATACTCCTGAGTCTTGCTCTGCTGCTAAGTCAACCAAGTCAGCCATGAGATAATATGTCTTCTAACTGACTTCTATGTAATAGATATCATTTTATATATTAAGACCCTTTCATTAATCAAAGAAATAGAAAGAACATGATTGTTTATATTTATAGTCCTTTTGGAGTCTGTCTTCTTATAAACATACTATGTGTTGATTAACATAAATCCCCAACATTACTTGAGTTTCTAAACATTGTTACTTTCATCACTGCAGTTGTCCAGCGATTCATACAGGTGACATGGCATTTTATGCTGGCTTCATTTTTTCAAATACTGAGGTATGAATTCTATACTTGCTAATTTTCATTCTTGTGTAATTTTACTCCTTAGAAACGCCTGTATCATGATGCAGACAAAATGTATCTAATATATTTTTAGTATTATTGCTTATTTCTTAAGACATTTTGTTTTGTCATATGATTTAAACATGATTAAATGTACATTTCATGCTTCAAGAGGCTACAGTTTCTGAATTTCTTGGGGATACCAAAACAAACAAATAAGACCCAGCACACAGTGAGACTAATTCACATTTGTAGGTCTGAAATATTTTTTGGGTTTTGTGTTCAGAGCACTTTAAGTGGAAACATGACATTACAAGAAACAAATGTAAGACTTGCATTTCCATTCAACAGTCAACATATAATTTTCAAATTAAATATTTTATTTTCAGATATTTATGCCCTGTACTCATTATACCCACTTTACCATGGTAAGTGTGTCAAAACCATTACACAATACCACTATCAGAATATTGACATTAGATGTTGCAGGTAAATGTGAGTTTGAAGAGTATCGTTGCACCAAGCACCTAACTTGGGCTCTATATCCAGTGCTCTGGCCTTGTGTGGCAACCTATTTTGCACTGCTCCCATTTTCAAGATCTGGTCATGACCCTACAACCCACTCCCAACTTACAAACCCCTACTCTGCCACATCTAACCTCTTCAATCCAGGTTCTGCATATCTTGTGCCAGCATCTAGATAAGTGACTTGACCTGATTCTCCCCTCTACTCACCTTCCACAATCCCCAAGGTAAATCCAGTGTCCCTCATATGCATTGGCTGGGCCTAGTCTGGACAACTTTGCTTACACTCCATTTTCAGGATTTTGCTAGAACACATATTCCCACAACCTATAGGAACCTTGTGTACTACATGCAATCTTTCCACTAAATCAGGTCCTGTACATCTTCTGACAGGAAATAAACTTGCCCAATCCCCCCTCCCATGGACACTCCCTGACATCCAGATCTATTGCCAAACTCCAGGCATGGACCATGACACACATCCTGTGTGCCATCTCAGCCCTTTGAAACTGACTGACTTCACTTTACCTAAGCCATATCTCACCTTCAGGCCCAACCTGACCCACACAAATCCTGTGCTCTGCTCCATTAGACACAACACAAATAAGTCCACATGCACAGATTTCATCACAAAACTATAAACAGTGCAAAAGATCAATGAAGTATTTCCTCCCACAAATCTATTAGTCTTAAAGAAATGTCTGTCTATGATAATTCCTATATGAAACCCAGGACACAAATTTAAAAGAACAATAAAAAACAAAGAATTCAAGTTTAAAGAAGGTACAAATAGCTCAGTGAGTTAAATGCTCAGTTGATGCCCCTGCAAAACATAAACATAAGGTTTATGGAAATGATGAAGGCAATCCAGCATTTGAGATAGAATTTAATAAATATCTAGAAACACTGAAGTCAACTCAAGTTGAAATGAAAATGGAAATGAAATATTCAATAGCTGAACTAGAAAACTCGACAGAAAGTCTCACAAGCAAAATGAATCAAAGAGAAGATAAAATATTACAACTCTAAGATAAAGTACAGGAACTAGACCAAACAAACAAGAATATGAAAAAAATTAAAAAACAGAAACCTGCCTTTGTTCAGTTAGCTGTTGGTTACTACTGACATAAAGGTGCTAAACTATTGCACTTTCACTCAAGGCTCACTAAACAGAAGAAAAACAATATCTGGTACTGGAAACCTAATCATCTTCCGAGAATTAGAGATGGCATGGATCTTAGAAAAGAATCTACTACTAACAATTTTCTAGGCTAGTATAATTTCTTACTACATCTGCAATCATATTCTCATACCCAATGATAAGTGTAGCTACTGTCTCTCATTAAAGAAGCTTCACTTACAGAAAATGAATATTAGCATAAATAGTGGGGAGCCCAGTCCTGATAGATATATTTCTATCATAGTTGCTGCATCTATGGCTCAGAGAACATCAGAGAAGAGGTGATAGAAAGATTTTCAGAACCCAAACACAGGGACTTCTGCTAGTAATCAGTCTTTTCTAGAAACAGCTATATTAACAGGGTCTGGACAAGGCTAATATCAATGGAAGGGGGAAGTTTTGTGGGATCCCATCCATAGACACAGAACTATAGGCAACTAGTTGGAGGATCATTAGCCTCACTCAAGGATGAGCTCCTTTAATGGCAGTCCAGTGCAGAGTGGTCATCCCTGAAAGTGTATGCATGCCACCAACAAAAATGGACTCAGA